ATCCCATTACTTACCAGAAACTGACAGATGCAAGTTTTGTGAAAACAGGAAGATTTTTATTATGTTTGGATACTGTTAATAAAATTGAGTTATAATTGATAGCAGATGGCAGGATAAATGGGAAGTAGCTCTGGATGCAGTCTGTGATGCTGCCCATGTTATGGGAGTCATAAACACGTTACTAAACCCAGCACTAAGAAGGTGGTTGAAAAAAAGATGGAGAAGGGAGGGGATGTGCTTGATAACAAAGACTAACTAGTGCTTTATAAATTGCATGGTTCTCTGTAATTCCACTTGAAATAAATCAAAAAGTCCAAGTTCCAGTCAGTTGAGGTGCCAACCATTAAGCCAATTTAAGCAACCTACAGGTTGTAATTATGGAGTTTAAAATATCAACATTTTCTTTTAAGGGTGGAAATTTAAAGAAAATAACCACTTGCTTTTGAAGGGGAACATGTAGAGGTGACAGGTTTCTTAAAAATTCTTTTTGAATGTTTTGAGAAGAGTCAGCATTGATCAGACTTCACATTTCAAAGCTTCGCAGAGGAAGGAGCTTTGGACACAGATCTAAGGAAAGAAAGCGAAGTTTGCAATGCATATGGCAGTCCATTAGCATTATATTTTCAACACTGAAGTCTGTGATTTCCCGCATATTGGCTGATGAGCTAAAGCATAAATTCACTCTCACCAGTATTTTTAGCTGCTGGCATTCAAGACTCGAAACGTCTACTCGGGATCTCTTCACATGAAGTCCTATAATGGGCTGTCTGAGCTACAAGCAAGATAACAAGCCTTATTCTCTCCTTGCATCTTTAGGTCAGCATTTCTGAATCAGCTGCAGTGAGTTAACAACCCTGGTGTCATTCTGTTAGCGTGCAAAGGAAAGACAACTAATCCAGCAAGAAAATTTCATATTTTAATCCGAGAGAACTCCATTCTTCATCATTTATCTTCTGGTTGACCTCAGCACTGGAGAAGTTGCTACCACTGACACACCATCACTTCTAGACCTGTTCTTCTGGGCTTACTGTCCAGTACTACCATTGACTATCTCTGAAAGGTTTTCAGGTGCATGAATGAGTGACTTTAACCCCTTGGCTACCTATAAAAGCAAGAAAAATAGTGCTTTAGTCATCAGTGTAGGGGAGAGGCTGAGACGTGCAATGCACCATGTTATTGACCAGTGGGCATGGTGGTGATGAGTTGATGACTGGACTAGCTGGTCTCAGTGGTCTTTTCCATTCTTAACAATTCTATTATACTTTCCCTGAGAGTAACCTCTGTAGAGCTGCTTGCAAAGAATGCAAATTTTGTTTTTTGCCTGATCCTCTCTCTTCCTTGTGCTTTTTTTCTCCCCTGAAGTCTTATAAATCTTGTCAGGTAATTTGCATTTGTTACATCGCAGCTTGTTAGAGTGAGAACATACTCTCAGCTGAGAGTATGCCTTGCCCTGAAAGGTATCAGATAAGTCTTCCAACACAGAGAGAGGCAGTCCACAACCACTGCCATAGACCTGAGAAAGTCTACATGGATGTTTGAAACCTCCTTACAGAAGGGTGTTGGGTAGCTGTTTCTGGCTGTACCTATTCCCTCTACCATGAAGAAGGTGAAGACAGCCTTGCCAGATCAGATCAGAGGTCCGCTTACACCAATATCCTGTCCTTGATAGAGGCCAACAGTGGATGTGTAGGCGAAAGGAGCACAAGCAGCCAGCCATGGACTGAGTAATCCCTTCCCTGGTACATGCTTCCAGCAACTGGTCATTTAGAGACTTCCTGAGCTAGAGGCTGCATCCGGAGCATTGTGTTTAATAGCCACTGATGGACCTAGCTTCTATAAATTCATATTCTGAATCCATTTAAACTTTTGGCCTTTGCAACATCCCGTGGCAATGAGTTACAAAACGTAATTATGTACTGGGTGAAAAAGTACTTCCCTTTATTCCAAACCTGTTGCCTGATCTTTTCATTGGATACCCCTGTTTTTGCCCTGAGAAATAATGATGAATTATTTTCATCTCCATAGCATCCATAATTTTACATATCTCTACCATCTCATGCACCTATACCTGCCTTCACTCATCTTTTTTTCTATTTAGTCTCTGCTTCTGAGTCTCTGTAGCCCTACAGTATGCTCTTTGAAAGTCAAACAGCATGCAATATTTATGATGCAGGTGCAATTTACATGAGGAGTAGCACAACAGAGGTTTTCAATCCTTGTCCCCCACTCATTTCTGTCGTATCTTTTTGTCTACAGCTTAACAGTAAGCCAAGACTTTCAAGAAATCCTTCCAATGACACCAAGGTTGTTCTCAAAGTAGTAGAAGCTCATTCAGGGTTCATTAAGCATCTTAATGTATTTGGCTTTCTTTTTCCTTCTCCCTTAAGCATTATTTTACAATTACCGACAGTCAATCATATCTGCTGTTCTCACCTAGTCATAGAATATCCTCCTGCAATTCTTGGCACAGCCTCACATTTCACTGTCCTGTATAATGGTGTACTCAGTAATGTAATTTAGGTCATCAAACATGCCAGGTGATCACTTTTCTAACTCGTTGATCAGCACAGCTCCTTCAGGTCTTTGAGAGAAGGCAGTTGTAGTTCCCAGTGTGGAAAAGCCAAGTACTACTTGTACTCAGATGGCTAACTCTGTAAAGCAGTTGTAGGCACTGAGAGGACCTCCATTACGTCCCATTTCTCACAGGAACTTGACTGAGGAAAATTCCCAAAGCCACGGGAAAACTATACAGGTTACACAGAAGACCACACTTGTCTTCATGCTTGTCGACAGCCACATTTGTGAAGCACAGCTCGCTCCAGATGAGACATGGCTGCTGTCTGCCCCATCACTTCAAAATGTTGCCAACTGTCACACGCTCTGTGAAGTAACTCTGAGTGGAAGTCAAACCCAGCTCCTCTGATCATGGTAGGACCCCTCGCAAGGACAGGAATCCTCATTCTTTTACTTTACATCCTGGGCAGCCTGATCTAGTGGTTGGCAGCCCTACCCATTGCAGGAGTTTTGGAACTGGATGATCTTTAAGGTCCCATCCAAGCTAAGCCATCCTATGATTCTGTTTATCTGGCTGTCATTCCTACCTAAGCAACAACTCTCACCGCAGTTATACAAGAGTCCAACATATTTAATATTATTATATTCAATATTATTGCTCAATATTATTTTTGGAGTGAACATAAGCCCCATTCACATGTCATAGTGCTTGGTCACCAGCAGGCACTTGGCTTGCTGTACCTACCACACCAAGACTAGTGTGATGAAGACAAACAACCGCTCAAGAAGTTCATGGTCAGGCGAGTCACACTTGTTTTACACTGTTTCCAAACACGTGGATCTACATGAGCAGCCAGCCTGTGGCTGAACAAAACATTGTGACTGCAGAAACCCTACTCAGAAAGTAATCCAGTGGAAGCCCTGTGTGCTCACTAAGGCCCAGTGCAAGGTCTGAACACTGAGGTAGCGTAGGAGAGGACCACAGCGAAGTGGCTACCCAACCCCAAGACCAGATCCTTCCCCAGCACTTCCCTCAGTACCTGTTTTCAATTTAGGAACCCTTTAGCAAAAGAAGCAGAGACAGAGGAGATGTCCCACCTCAAAGGGCTCCTGGAGTCAACCATGGAATGAACTGACTTTGGCTTGGGGGCTCATTTGGCTATTAATCTGATAGATCTGTTGAGGGGGCTGAAGGAGGAGACAGATAATATCCTTACTGCAGATGGGCCATCACAGTTGGGGTTGAAGGGACACAAGGTCTTATGAAGCCCATCTGCTCTGAGAAGGGACAGGAAGGAAAAAGAAAAAAGAAAAAAAAGAAGAAAAAAAAAGAAGAAACGCTCCTCTCAACTGCTCTAACTTGATGGAGTAAAGGGGGAAGAAAGGGAGGAGCAGGAAGTGGTAACATTTGGACTCCTGAAATGAGACTCCAGCTCTTGGTTTCACAGAACATCTTTTGTTTTCAGCTGGTGAGAAAGACCCAAGCAACAAATCGACCCAGGAGACTGTGCAGTCTGTGGCTGCTACTGAACACAACTTCAAACTCCAACCAAAAGGAAGCTCTTTTCCCGCTAAGCTGAGCCTTCCACCCTGGAGCAATCCTCTGCCCTCTGAAACACTCCCTTACCCTGCTCCATCAGCCAGGAAAGTGCTTAGAATACCTGCCAAAATTCTTATCCCCCCCCACCCCCCTCTGCAGTTCACATACATGCACTTCTGTAATGGTCATGCTGAGATACAATCCCCTGGCTTCAGCAAAATTGAAGGGATTGAATATTTCATAAGCAATTTACACATCCCTGCCAAACTCCGCAGTTCCCTGGAAATGCAGCAAAGCTCTTGTGCATGCTCTGTGCAGTTGCCTGCTCAGGTAACATCACTCTAGGGCACTGAGAAGGAAATACAACTGTTTGGAAAGACCTTTGTGTTGACGGATGGCAAAAGCAGTTTTAGATTGCACACAGCAAGGAGGTAAAATGTTGAGGCTCCAATTTATAAACCATGTCTCTGCTTCTTTCTTCACTCCATAGCCCTATACCCATCAGTTTCCTACAGTGCTCCACTTGATGTACTCAAAGCCCTCATCCATTTTCCCACCACTGCAGTGATAATCACCCCCGCAAGAAGTTTACTCGCAAGAAAAAAAACACATGCAAAAATTCTGAATGCCTCAGGGTCCAACAGCAAGTAGAAAAACATAAAATAAAATAAGATGGGGCGCTGTCCCTGCCTCTTCATTTTAGCTATCATTTTGGCATATGCCAGAACGTTACCCCAGGCAAAACATAAGCAGGTAATGAACAGGGATTTGCATGCAATTCCAGCAGTGGTCATGACCACAGGCACTGCTCCGTGCAAGTTTCTCCTTCTCAGGGTGTTCATAAAAACCCATCTTTGCACACCAGCTGCACTACAGCCAGCTGCAACATCTAAGGCTATTTGTACTTCTAATTGGATTATCAATTGACATGACAGAAAGGCTGATGTTTCCGCACAAAAACATGTTTATTACATTGATGCAGAACTGACTCAGAGCACAAGGATGCTTTGAGGTCTGTATGCTTGATCAGCAGATTCAAATCCCTTGTTGCCAGCTTGGCACAAATTGCTAGCCAGTCCCTTCCCAAGAGACAAGCTTTGACTATCTCTCCCAACAGCAGTAACTACTCATGTACCAATTAGATGCACATCCTTTCCAACAACGGCTTTGCAAACACTCAGACAGTGTATCTCTGGATCTTAACTGTCTTCTCATTTCAGAAGTGAGGCTTTTGGGAACACCAGTGAAGACACCTTCCACTCCATGCTTTTCTCCTAGCGTGCAAAAATAAAAGAGGCAAAGCTAAAATACCGTCGTAAAGTACAAGGGAAAATCATTTTTTAAATATCTTCAGGTCGCCTGGTTTCATGTGCAGCAGTACGCTGGCGTTCTCTCACTCTCCTTAGGTCTACCTATGCTCGCTTTAAGATCAAACTGGCATTTTTTGCCAGCAATTCATTGGAAGCAGCTCTCCACCAGCCGTCTCCCTCCCCACCTGCAGGCAAGCCAGGATCTGGGCCTCACAAGACTATGGTGGCGTGGGTGTTGTTGGCTGCCTGTTTTGGCAGCCTCTCCTCCTTTCTTCCAGCTCTGTTTTGAAACACAATCTAAATTAAAAAAAAAAAAAAATTAAAAATTGGATGTTCCTGCTCTCTCCACTCACGTCAGCACTCCCACAGAGTTTAGCAGCGTGCAGGTTGGCCTACATGGCACAAACTTTCGGCATAGAAACTCTTACTTGTAGGGAAAGCACGAACTTTGGGAAGGAAGGGGAAGTGAGAGACAGAAACGAGGGAGAAGGGCCAAGAGGCCTTTGGGAAGTGTCTCACTTTAATGGAAGAGGCAGAGAAAAGAGAAAAATGGCTCTCTAGAGCCGGCTCCCTCCCGCTTTAATAGTATTAGGATCTAATGCAATTTGGACTTAAAAGACTAATTTTTCCTGCAGTTTGATGGATGCTAGTGTCCCCAGGTTTTTTCTTCTTTAACAATGCGTTACATAACATTCTGATACACTAGTTACCATCTCATGTCATAGCAATTTTATTAAGAGCTTATACTTACAAATACCCATTCCAAAAGGATTTCAGGACTTTTTTTTTTCCATTTTCTGTGAACTAGGCTTGCTGAAGCACTGGCAACCAGGTCTGTGCTGCGCAACGCAGCTTCCAGTAACAAAGTGCCTCTACACAAAATCTCTCATGAGCACTAAGAGTCAGGCATGGATTCTTCTTGCGTTTAGTCTCAAAGACTTGTAAACAAGTTTCGTTTAGCACACTGTGATAAAACACTTGTAACACAGCCCTAGTAGGTTCCTGTACCTGCCACACTTCCAATTCCAGAAGTAATTCTGAGACAAATTCCTTTATACCAAGTAATGGAAAATTTGTCTAACTATTCTGCAGTTAGTGTTTGCTTGTTAATATGGTATCATCTTGTCAGACAAGACTGGGTACCATGAGGTATTTTTCCATATAAAATTGCTAATGCCATCAAGATTGTCCAAATGGGATCATCATCATTAAAAAGATTACGCGGTACGGAAAGTGATTACGACAACGTCTGAGCAGAAGGATTACTAATCACAAGTAGAATCCTGGTACAAATCTCATTCTCCGTATACAAGAAAGGACACAAAACCTTTTGAACATAATTTATATACATTTATGGCTTTATACAACAAACTGTCAGGGATTGTTCTCGTGTGTCTGTAAAAGTACATCAGGCACTTTTCTGAAAATATCCACGTTTGAATTTCAATTCTGCTGTGTGACTAAGTCAGAGCAGTGGAGCGTTGAAGAGCTGTCACGCCACTCGCAAGTAGAGCTAGCGGTACGTACATGCCAATCTCTCCAGATATTGCTGGTTTGTGGAACACCCTCGAAAAGGAGGCCAGGTTTAATGCCAAGTAATTTGCTTTCTGTTTGCATAAACCATGCTGCATCTTACATTATGATTACCAAAATAATAATAATAATAATAATGAGAATACCTTATTTAAAATCAGTCATAAATTAAGGATCCTAGCAATTTCATCATGAAAATAGGAATTTCAAATCAGTAAAAAAATAAAAAAGTACTAACATACATCCAGTGGTTTAACAAGTGCAAATTTTATACTGTTTTATAATTGGTCCAATTTTACCTTCTCTTCTTAGGGACGCTCTGTTGACTTAAGCCAATAATAAGCAATGTGACTTTTGCTTATAAGTGTAGGCAAATTGTCGGTTTATCAAAGCAGAGCTTTCCAATTAATGCATCTACTACTTAAACATATATCATATAGCTATATTATGGAAACAATACATCTTTATATTTAAAATATCTGAACAGCTCTATAATACAATAAACTTTTAATAACAGTACAAACCAGAAAAGTCAAAAACAAGGCTGCATAGGTAAGATCATCCGCACAATTCACAAACCAATCATTTACAACAATTCTGACAAACTAAGTTACTCCAGAAACTCGGTACTTTTTACTGGAAAAGGATTTATTACTAGAGGTCGCATAATGTTTGCTTTCAAGGCAGACAACACCTTCATCAGACTTCACAGTATTCCAGAATTACAATTGCAAAATATTAGGATGGCACCATGCAAGAGAAAGTAAATTTGACCACACGACCCAAAACCTCTGATTATCTACAACTGTTTTCTTTCAGTAATTAAAAGGGGCTTCCTACAGACTGCTGTAACTCAGGGACAGCTACATTTATGATATTCATAGTTATAAAAGGAAAGGAAGAAAATACCTGTATCTAGGAATTTGTACAGTAGCAGTAAATAATAAACAGGAGGTATATGGTTAAATGTAGCATGTTTAGCTGCAACCCCATAGAGTTTAGTTAAGCACTGCCTTCTTTGCGCACAGAGGTGGATTTTGTGCCTACTTTGAACTGTGCTATGAATCCCCGTTTGGGAACAAACATTTTTGCGCATGCAGCAGAAAGAAAGAACTTCAGAAACTCGTGTGTGAGCCCACCGCCCAGATTTACCATCAAGTCTTAGAGAATGTGAAGTTGATGGGGATGATGCTAGTTGAAGTTTTTGGCCATAAAAGCAGGCTGCTTTGCTCAGGCTTCAGCACCACAAACAATTAATGCTCAACAGTTCAAAAACCACTATCACACTGGGGGAGATCCTGTATCACAGGACAGCTCCCTGAACCCCCGGAACTGCTGACAGCTGTAATTAGATATCTAAAAAGTAGCTGTAGTTAGTAGTCATTTAAGCCCAACAGGGTGCTAAATGCTAGCACATCAGTAGATGCATTGCAGAGTCTTAGGAAAGTCCTAACAGGATCGTTAAATATATGGCTTGTTACTGAACTTCATTTTCTTGGCACATCCCATTTTTTTCTCCACCATACAGCATCACTACAGGGAACCAGAGTTTCAATTAGAGCATTTTCCAGTTGTGAGCATCATAGACAAAACCACAATCAGTGAAAATTCATTTTTCTCCCTTTCTTCTGCAAGCACATAAACTGTTTGTCCCGTCAGCTCCAAAGATTTCTGTAACACAAATGGTGTGTAGACCAATGGAAAGACAGGTGAGGCCCATGCTCCACACAACCATGAAAACTGCCTTATTAACTGCAAAAAAAAAAAAAAAAAAAAAAAAAAAAAGATAAATCTCTTATCAATGACCCAACCCTAAAAATCCTCAGGAAGCTGTCAATGTGCCTCTCAAACAAGACCAAGTGTTTCCACAGGAACAATGCCTCTATCATTAATACTCACCCCTATCCCAAGGTTCTTGAGTTTGTGTAACTTTCCCACTTACTTTTTCTTTCTTACTTAAAAAAAAGTAGTTTTGTTTTTTATTTTCCTGTAATGGGGTGTCACACAAGTTTTAGCCTGCCATTAAAATGTAGCACTTTTGCCACCTCAGTTATACTGCATGCTGACAAAAACACGGACAGACTCTAAAACCAGTGCCAAGTAAGGAAAAGATCAATTTTGTCTTTAATTTTATCAAAATCATGAATTTTCTCCAAATGGTCCTGCTCTCAGGTGTACAAACATTATGAGACCTCCATGAAATAAATATAAGTGTGAAGAAGCATTGTACAAGCATCTAACAATGAGTACTTAACACTTTGTGGTAGTCAGAGTTAAAATGATAGCAGAAGCAGATGACGTTTCTAAAAATGCATATATAAAACTGATTAAATATTTCCTAAACATAAAGTTGTCTATTTTTATACATCACACAACAAAAAAGGGACAGAAATGTTTTGTATTCAATATACTTATTAAGCTTTTCCTTTATTAGCACTCCCAAGTGCTAGGGAAATTTATAAAAACAAGTACTTAATCCAGTTAAAATACTGTACAAAATGAAGAGGTTATGAATGCTGCCAGATCTCAGAATTATTTTTCAAGTTGCCTATGTAACAAAAGTAGATTTTAATTATAAGAAAAATAGCTTGGAAAGTATTCCAAAAATTATCTTAAGTCCAACAACAAAGTCATTAGTCTGACAATGGAATCCAGATATATTCTTGCATAAATTTACATGAATACAGGTAACTTATCAAATGGCATTTAACCTACTGTTTGCTTTGAATAGTGAGAGAGTTTAGTAGGATCATATAAACCGGCTACTCTGTTCCCATATGAAATGTGTGACAATTTTAAGTAGAATGAAGCAGTTCGAACTGCTGCAAGGCAAGTCCACAGTTATCTCAAATCATCAGAACACAGGTAACATCAATGAAGGTTAAACTTACGTAGGGCATGAGATCATCACAGTATTCTTACAAAAGTTTATAAACTTTTCTTGGACCAAAACAGATAGTCTTAAAAAACAATTCTTCTACAGATCATACTGTACAAAACCGAAAGCACGACATGATGTAAGTAAGAGTCTTTGCTGTGATTATATGGTGTAGTGGATTTGGCACTTCAGAGTAATGAAATTTCCAATGGCACAGTTCTTATCTACAGCAGCACATAACCTGCAAACCTTGGGCAAACATCCTGTACAGGAAAATAATCAGTCTGCTGCCAACTCTGACGAAAGGAAGAAGAAAAGAAAAAAAAACAAAAAAACAAAAAAAGCTAGTGTATGCGCACAGCTTTGTCAAGAAAATTAAAAAGGAAGGTGAAGGACATCTTTGTACTGCTTTTCTCAGTTCCTGCTGTCAGACAAGTCTGGAGAATTTAACCGTAGCCTAGGGAAAAAAAAAAAACAACAACAATAACAACAAATTAACTTTCACACCAAAAGATGAAGTCTATTAAAATACGTTCAAACTAGCTTTAAAATAAATTAAATGGGGAAAAACGTTTTCATTAATTATTGGTTACCAGAAATTTTTTGGTTCAAAATATTAACGGCAAAATATTAGCACTCCAAATGAAGTAGGAGAAGGCGGTACACGGCGATCTCAGTGCACCAGCGCAAACCTGATTTACAAACTAATAAAGAACTGAAAAAACCACTGACTGGAACAGAGGCACTTCATGTGCCAACAAAAGCGATCGCCCAGGTTTTAAGCATTTGACATCTGTCTTCCCTTTAAGCTGTTTTTCAGATTTATTATAAAAAGCACAGCTTACCTCCTACTACATCCTATCCTGACACCCAACTGTGTGTGGTTGTCTTTACGCTGTGCTGAAAACTTTGGTTAGGCAATACACTGTCAAAGTTAAAATCTAACGTTTCTCCATCCATAAGGTCATTACGAATAATCGACTCCATGTCACAGTCCAACCGTTCAATTAACATGTCATCTAAGTCACTGGGAAGCTTCTCCTGGTGGAGGGAAACAATTCCCACCCTTCCGTAGCCATTGCAACTGTTAACAGGGGCATATGGGTTCATAGCATTCATCTGCATCTGGTGACTCATAGGCACTTGTAACGAAGTCTTCACTGTCGACAAGCGATTTAGACCTGAAGTATGTGACATGGGGTTCACTGTGTGTGACAAGGCACGGCCATTAACTGCAGGTGTTGGCTGGTTATGTCCTTGGTGAGGGCGGGCGTTAGGGTTCATCATTTTGTTGTGAGGTGGCTGATTGCCGTAAGTTGGCATCACTGAATTAGTGACCATCAGTACACCTTGGCCCAGCGCCCTGCCACCAGCCTGGGAAACACCAGTGTCTACTGATGCCAAGATATCGTTGTGCGGAGGAGAATCAGAAGTGAGTAACTCCTTCAGAAGTCCTGCAGGACAGTTAAATTGGCTCATCGATCCATAGCTTGATTTACTGTCTTGAAGAGTCTGCATAGGAATTTGGGGCAAAGAGTTCATGCTAGCTTGAGCATATGTAAATTTCCTGTAGTCTGGATTTGGTGAACATATGCTTGTGGTCGAAGATGCAAATGAGTAACCTGGTGTTTGCTGCATCAGTGTAGCAGATGACGACTGGGTTGATACAGTCATTGATGTATTAGGTGACAAAAGATTAAGGTTATCCAAAAGATTTTCCATGTTCTCTGAACTACTCATCTCTGAAAGGCTGGGTAGAGTAGAAGTCATTTTGGTGGCTGATGATGGGTATACCATGGAGTGCACATCTCCATCTCCAAGATCATCTTGCTCTGGCAAAATAGGAGAAAGTCTTCCACTTATTGTACTAGCATTAGAGCTAGTTCTAGGTCGAAACGTACTCCAGTTATCAAAGTCATCATTACTGTGAGAGCTGGGGCTTGCAGGCCACTTCGAGAACTGAGATCCAGGGCTGTCACCGTTTCCCTCCTGACCAGATTGAAGAGATGCTTTTTTCTTGGCTGCTCTGCCTCTGCTTTTTGCAAACTTGCTGTTGTTATCCATGGATGCTGCTCGCCTCCTAGGAGACTTGCCACTCTTTCCTCCTTCAGGATTGAGCATCCACCAGGAACTCTTCCCTGTTCCCTCATTCTGCACTCTGATGAATTTGCTGTGCAGGGACAAGTTGTGACGGATTGAATTCTGAAAAACAAAATAAGGTATAAGAACACAGGTTGCATTTGTGATGGCTCTCAAAGAGAGACCTCTTACATACAGCTTAGTTTTCAAATGCTATATTCATACCTGTGGTTCCCAGCATAACATTCAGCTATATAAAAGGAGATGCTGAGCACGTTCAAGATTTAGGAAGCAAAATATATCAGAAGACCAAAAAGCCCACTGAAGGTCCTATTATCAGCTTCAGTCTAATGAGTTGAACCTGAAGGCTTTCAGGGATTTCTTTTATGCAAAGTTGAGAAATATTAGATCTTGTTTTATGGTCCTTGTAATGGGATCTCATCACACATTTCTCTAAACCCTAAATATGCCAGCATGTGTATCTCTGAACGTTAGTGAAGTTCAAATGACTTCTGTCAAAAGCAAAAACACAAAGAAAACCAAGGATTGAGTTTTTGTATATAAATATAACTAAACACCTAAGAAATCACAAGGGAGAAAGGAATGCAAATAGCACAGACAAACTTGCATTTAAAATGTTAGTCTTAAAACCATCTTTCTCTTTCAAAATCAACATTTTAATATGTAACATTGACTCATGCAATACCTGAGGGCACAAGACATCTTGTGCCAAAACTGACCAGGGAATACTGAAGCTTTTCATTATCTCCTCAGACACCAGCTATGCCTCATCAGAAAGAAAAAAAAAAATTAAGAATCTAAACCTACAGTTTGACAAGCTAACAAGTGACTTGTAATGCCAAGTTGGTCTTCCTTCACCTCTTAGATCCTAAATGTCCTCCCGCACACATCCAGTTTCTCAAAGCTACTGCCAATATGCACATGTTGCCTCATTCCCAATATATCCATCCGATAAAAGGAAAGCATCAACAGTCATAGGGAGCCATGTCAGGTGGAAAAAGTCATCTTGCTCAAATCAGAGATCAGAGGCTCCAATTTTCTGCCACAGCCATGGCACAGTGTGGATTGTGGAAAGCCAATTGACAAAAGCAGGCCTGGCCACCTGAAGAGCTCAACAGGAATGGTTACTCTAGGGCTAATCTTCAGCAGATTAAAACAGCAAACAGTCCTGGACCAGAGACTGTTTACACCTTATAGACTGCAACACCCTGAGGATGTCCCCACAGGAGCACAGCCTCACACCAGATGGGTCACTAAGTGCCCCTGGACAGCAGAAGATGGCAGAAGACATCATCATGGTAGCTCACGGTTCAGCCAGCCCAATTGCTAGTCAAAAAGTCTGACTAACTTCAGAAGCCTTTCCAACCTCTTCTTCCCCTCCAGAGAACCATCCCATTTAATAAATCATCCCAGTTAGATCAACACCAGCAACAATTTCAGCATTTCCTTATTCAATTTTGAAAGGAAGCCCATCTTTATGATATTACCTAATTGCAATAGGACTATATCTCTTCACTGCAGTAACTTTGCAATCAAAATCTCATCTCCTATCCAGTGACAAAGCCTCAAAATGTTATTTTCACCACATGCAGCCCCATAAAAATATCATCACGTGGAATTCCCCTCTGCATAGCTTTAGGCCTGTGGTGCTCAGTGCCTCATGGGGCTCAAGGCAAGCATCTGCTCCCCCCCGTCCGACCTGACATCATAGTAATGTAGTGTTAGCGTCGTGTCAGGAGGGTAAGCCCAAAGATCTTTCCCTGGACTTGCCCGTGGCTGTGGTTGGAAGGGCTGAGGAGTGCAGGGAGCTGGCCCTGCCAGCCCTTTGTTTTCACTGTAGGGCCAAAGCGGAATTAAAGGCTGACACAATTCCAGAGTTAGCAATGTCGCAAGAAAGTTGTTCTGCACGTCTGTTGATTAAAAAACCTCCTGCGCCAGTTCAGTTTTTTATTGTATTTTGTAAACATACCCAGTTGGCTTAGGCTGAGTGTTTACTATGAAAATAAGCATATAAGGCATGCAAAACATCAGGCAGCGAAAATCTTCTGCTCGTGCTCGACTCTCTTTTTTCCGCAAGAGAAGCGTTAAATATTTAAGAAATTACTGCTATTCCTTAGTCATCAAAAATATTATAATCTGGTATTATTGCACTGAGGACATCTGAGGTCACTCTTTGAGTAACAGAGCTGTCTCCTAACGCTGCCAACAATGAAAAAAAAAATTTTCCTAACAGGAAAAGGTTTGCAAACCAGAGCTTGTTACATAAATTCCTGTTTTTCACGCAGCCAGCAGGACATTAAAGAAGCTATGATTTACTAACTTGGAAAAAGTGTTGAAGAGGTAAATCTTGTGAAAATATGCACTGCTGTTAATGATGTTGTGTCTACAGATCTTTGCCAGACGCAAACAGGACCCTGATAAAAAAGTATAGTTTCAGCAGTGGAACTTGGCAGCCATAGAAGCGGCACCGCGAGCTGCAGCCCCGCCGCCTCAGCGTGCTGTAAGATGCTTCGAACGCCGGCTTTTGGCAAGACTTTGAAGCAAAGCCTCCCAAAGCCAACCTGAAGGATACGCAAAGCAATTGGCTACATGTCCAGCTGAGCTCCCAAGCACAGCAATGAGTTCCAGGTCAGCCTGAAAGCATCTGCGTTGGAATTTTATCAAACCCACATTACGACTCGAGCCAGACTGCTGCCACCTGTGGGGTGTTTCCTGGGACTGAGTCTGCATGTTTGAGATGAAGCTCAGGAAGCTTGCTCCCATTTGGCCTTCAAACGTCAGCATGTACTTCACATTTCAGCCATAGTTGAGCAAGAAGATCAGGTGCTATGGATACAGGTATTGGTGGTCCTTGCTGATGAAGAGTCAAAATATGCAATACCAATATTTGCCTTCTATGTAATGAGCAATTACCAGCTAATAAAACTAACGAAGCCAAAAAAAATGATTCATTTGATTCTGCACTTACATTATTCATCTACTTTTCTGACATTTCTTGAAACTGAACCACATTGCAACAAGAACACCCCGCTTCTTCTTCTAAACAACAAATAAATTGAAACTGATTTACATTTACTAACAATAAGTCTGAGACATGTAATTCCTGGATCCCTACTGTATTTAAGCCCAAGAGATACTCTTTAAACAGGCAGCTAAAGATTAATCTGAATAACTGCTGAAAAAAAAGAAGCCTTACAATGGAAGTAGATTTATTTAATTATTATTTTTTTTCTAGTGAATTGTTTTGGTGTTTTACTAAAGAGAAACACCTTGAAAACATAGCTGCTTTATTGAACTTAACAATAGTGCAAGCCTGTACTTGAAGAGAAGACATACAGGTACGCTGGCCATCTTTCTTCCACCCCATTCCTTGGAGCAGGTATGGGAAAGTAGAGCTCCTGTATAACTTTACTGCAAGACAACAGTCCAGGCTCACTGCAGCCTTCTCCAGGATCAGACTGTGGAACTGAGAGTATTCTGAGAGCTGTGAGACTCAAGTGCTGTAAAAGCCTGCATGGGTCCCCTAGCGGGGCTCCTTCCCTCCCTGTTCAACTACAGTGCTGTGATAGCCACCTAAATGAGAGAAAAAGGATTGGTTGCAACAATTGGTACTGAAAAAGAAACAATTTAAAAAAAAAAAAGCAATCTCCTATCACAAATCTGCTACCAAAGCACACATGCCAGTGGTACTACAATAAAGCAAACCACAGCATCTTGGACAAGAGATTCACCAGTATGGCAGTAAAGGTGAAGGACTCAGCCTCTGGAGACAGATGCAGCCATAACTAAGTGTGAGGCAATAATGTAAGAGCAAGACAGGCTAAGTGTATCTATAAAAATTAACAGTCTTACGATTGCCCACCAATTTTTCATTCAGAAGTCATCTCAGCAGTCCTTTACTTATTATGTCAATTTATTCAAGGGAATGGTCTACAAGTGTTGTCAGTCAGTTGACACTAGCATCAGTGGAAATGGCTGTAAATACAGACAGGGGAACAGTATCTGACTGTAATTCTCTGATCTCTCCATGCAAAATCTAAAGCAGACTTGGAAGGGTGAGATAAAGCTGTAAATGTGACACTTCAATACTGCTTTTGACATAATCCTCTAAGATAACAGTGATTCAGAAAAAAATAAAAGGAATCGAGATGAGACTTGAGATTGCCTTTTTATTTTAATGGAGAGTTGAACACTATTTCAATAGGAAGATGCTTTGTAAGAAAGTTAGGTTTGAGGACTGGTAGAAGTGAAGTTCATAGACCTATCAATTAACATCATCACTATGAAATGATGTTAATTGGTGACTTTTATGGAGAGGATACCAAAGCAAAAGCCTGGCAGGAGAGAAGGAAAGACCCAGCATTTACATAGGCTGTTACAGAGGACGTCAGACCTGTCTCTCTAGGTTTGTGTACTGGAATTTTACTGCAGCTTCAGATGTTCAAATCACCCTCCTCTTGGAGCCTCAGCCACTCTAAAATAATAATAATAGTATGGACAGAAAGCATATCACTTAGCCTCAGGTTTAAGAGTCATATTTAGAAGAGGCTGGCAATTTGCCACCTGCAGCTGCATGAAGGTGGAAAGGCAGGATTTCCTCCCAAACAGGTCATGCTTTTTTGGGTCCTTTGTTCTTAGGGGGGTGCTTTTGTTTGACTCCATTTTTGTCCTACACTGTTACACAGCTAAGAAGTTTCAGCTAGAAAAAGCGCAGAAACACTGCAAGGGACCTTGTACTGCATTTCTGTGTTTTTCATTACAGATGGTGGCATAGTGAGAGTCTTTCCCAGAACACCACCCACAAAACATCATCTCCAAACACGGAGATGCTTTCTTAGAATGTTCCATTTGAAGAGATTTCAGCAATCTTTTGTTCCCTGAGTGAATGTACAAGAATGTGGCAGACTGTATGCTATCACTATACGACCACTACACATGCCTCTCCTGGACACAAGAAGTCTATTGTGCCCATAGTTCACTGACAATAATCTAAGTCCTGCTCCTTCTGCAGTTAAGTCCATGGATTTATACCCTACTGCACTTCCTCTCCACAGCTGTCGAAGGGTTGGCCATCCTCCAGGTTGCATCCCCTCACCCCGCAA